GATATGGGAGGGGAACATGGCGATATGGGAGGTGATCATTAAGATATGGGAGTGAAACATGGAGGTTTGGTAGCGGAAAATGTAGATATGGAAGGGAAACATTGAGAAATGTGAGTTAAACACGAAGAAATGGGAGGGGAAACATGGAAATATGGGAGGGAAACATTGGGATATGGGACTTGGAACGTGGAGATATGGAAAGGGAATTATGGAGAATGGGTTTATGAAAGGAAAAATGTAGAAATGGGAGGGGAACATGGTATATCTATATAGAAATATATTTCTTGGAAAATTATTCCCAAATCTCATAATGTTGCCAGTTTTAACTTTTTATTTTGAATATTTTTTGAGGAATTTGAAATTTTCAAAAAAAAGACCTTAGTGAAGTGATTTACCCTTCTTACCTTTCATTCTCCCCCTTTTCCTATTTCGGATTCTAAAGGTTTGGGATAAAAACAGATTGAAAAAACTGAGAATAAGCTTTGGGAGAACGGGTTTAATGAGGAACGAGGATAATCCGTTATCATTTAAAAAAAGCATTTTGATGGATTTGCAATTCTATGACAGACAATTTAATGCATAAGGAGAGATTATTTTAATATTAAGATTAGGAATTCATTTTAAACCCCCCTTGAATGTTATATTTAAAATTTTGGATGTTTCTATGATGCATAACTCCAGGGATAAATAAGACACATGTGTTGGGGCTGGTAGCTAGTTGTTCTGTCTTATTCGCCCCCTCCCCTTCCCTCCCCCGTCCCCATACCAAAATAAAAAAATCAAATCACCGAAAAGGTTGATCTGTTTCTTGATTCCTGTTATTTTAGCATACTTTACTAAACCAGACAGGAGGAGAATGTCAAAGTTTTAGTCACAATTTCAAATTTTCTAATTCCTATATCTTTGCAACCCGAGGTGTAAACCTTTGATATTCCAAACAGCGACTATTTGATCAAACAGAGTTTATATGTTTGAAATATCTAAGATCTACGACATCGGGTCGCTAAGATATAGGGGTTAGAAAATCAGAGTTGTGGCAAAAACTCAATTCCTTTCTGAGACATTACCGATACGCCTAGGTTTGGTTTTACGTTGCACAAGTTTGAATGAAAGCAAAGATATTGTAAACTTAATACATTGTAGTTCTTCTCAATATCTCTGCAATGTAAGGAGGAGTTAGTTATGCTTCAAAACATAAAATATTTCAATCTTACGTGCAATGTACTTTAGTTTCAAGTGATAATATATATACGCTATACATTTGAAAATCCTAATTACAAATGTTTGATTCTGTGATGTGTGCACAGAAAGGCGCGATTGCCAAAAACTGAGTTGTGCACTTTAGTCACGTTTTTCATAAATAAAAAGAAATTGATAAAGAATGTTAAGTGTTAAGTGTTTATTCTCTTTCAACAAACTAGTGCAAGTTTACTACTTGATCCCAATTACTGCATGATACGTCAATCAAGATCATTTGCGCTATTTTTGTCATAAAGGTACGGTTTCAAGATCATACAGCAAAAAGATACAGACTGCTATGAAAAGTTTTAGCAATTTTCCAGACTGGGTCGACTTTGAAATGTCGCAACTCCTTGGTCGATGATTTTACCTCGCCAACTTACTTTTTTGTGGCCCCACAGAAGATTTTTTTATCTATAAAGCACTGTTTCTGGCTTTAGTTTTAAAAAAGTAATAGGCAAAATTCTATTTAATTTTTGCATGGGCGCTTACAACCTTCGGATCACTGTCACTGGTAGCTTAAATTTTTCAAGATTTCTTACTGAAGTCGTCTTTTCATTTTAGATTTTTGCAGCTCCTTGGAGCTGTTAATACACATCTTTAAATAGTCTATACTTAGAAGTTTTAGGTCAAAACTTTAGCGCTTAAACCAGTGTCGGAAAAAAATAAGGGGGGAGGGGAGAATTGCAGTATAAGTCTGTTTACAAGTTGTGCATGGTGTCTTTTGTATGTGTACAGGGTGTCCCAATAAACTTATATTTACTTTCGAAATGGGGTCAGCTTCTGTGGATCTTTAAAAATTGACGGAGATATTGAGACAATTGCGATTTTGTTTAATAATAAATTGAAATCTAGCAATATATATGACAATCTTTGTTAATTTGAAAGGTTCAAATTGGCAGACTGCAATGGGAAATCTCAAGACATGCAAATTTTGTTCAGTAAAAAATATCATTATTATGTTTTATCCTGTTCACGAAAGATGTCGAGTGCATCAAAGATGATGTTAAAGTCGACACTCAATTCTCATGTTTTGGAGACACTCATTCGGACTAAATACATATAGTTTTACATTGACATAATACTTGTTATGAAACATTTACTTATATAAGTAGAAATAATACGGAATAACTTTATGTGTTTTGTTGCAAATTATATTACATTTAAATTCAAATTGCATTTAATCATGGATATTTCTTATTTGATATTTTCATTTAAATGTCGAGGTCTTTACAAATTACTTAATATACATAAATAAAGGTTAATGATGGATACATAGAGTGTGCACATTTTAAAAGGAAACCCCAGTCTTTTTTGAAAATCTTCTTCTTAGTCTAATCTAAAATTTACAAAACTGTTTCCTTTTTGTCTAAAGTGTCAAGGCTTCCAGTTTCCTATTTTGTCTAAAAACGCATATTACCTATTTTGTCTTTACAATATACAAACTGTTTATAAGTTTGTAAAACTCTCTCCAATTATTATGTCTAAAGTTTTCAAAACCATCCTGCTTTCTACTTTGTATATATAAACTTTAAAACTGAGTTTTTGCCACAAACTCAAATTTAAACCTGTTGGTAAAAATATTTTATGCTTAAAACTGACTAAAGTTAACAAAACTCCCTGTTTCCTATTTATTCTAAAGTTTACAAAATTCTCCTGTTTCCTATTTTGTCCAAATTTTACAAAATTCTCCTGTTTCTTTTTTTTAAAGTTTACAAAATTTTCCTGTTTCCTATTTTGTCCAAAGTTTACAAAGTTTTCCTGTTTCTTATTTTGTTCAAAGTTTACAAAATTATCCTGTTTCGTATTGTGTCTAAAGTTTACAAAATTCTCCTGTTTCCTATTTTGTCTTAAGTTTACAAAATTATCTCGTTTCGTATTTTGTCTAAAGTTTAAAAAAAATTCTCCTGTTTCCTATTTTGTTCAAAATTTACAAAATTCTCATGTTTCCTATTTTGTCTACAGTTTACAAAATTCTCATGTTTCCTATTTTGTCTAAAATTTACAAAATTCTCCTGTTTCCTATTTTGTCTACAGTTTACAAAATTCTCATGTTTTCTATTTTGTCTACAGTTTACAAAATTCTTCTGTTTCATATTAAGTCTACAGTTTACAAAATTCTCCTGTTTCCTGTTTTGTCTAAAATTTACAAAATTCTCCTATTTCCTATTTTGACTGAAGTTTACAAATTCTCCTGTTTCTTATATTGTCTAAATTCTATCAAAACACAACAAACATTGTGAACAAGATTCGAAAAGCCGAGTATGATAATAGTTTAAAATAATTGATTTTGATATAATTAAAACCAGTTCCCTGAGCAGTCCTTTTGCGTCACGTTATCCACACCTCTAGATGGCAGAGGCCCAAAGGAGTTACGCGCATGCCGCGTTGAATTACAAAACAGAGACAAAAAATGTTCTAGCCACGGTTCTGTATTCTGGCCTGTCCTACCCGCGGTGCTCGACCTCCTAGCCTGTCCTCAACAGCGCTCGGTTCAGAGAGTAGTGTAACCAACCCTAACCTTAAAATATATACTGATCTCTCTCATTCTTGTAATTCAACGTGGCAAGCGCGCGTAACACCTTTAGGCAACTGCCACTCTACCATACCTACCTTGTCCTTTCCTATTCTAAACAAATGTGTTGAATGATAGAAAATGCTTTTGCATTTTCCTGACAGAAAAAATAGAAAAAATGATTGCTTGAGTTGAGTGTTCAACGAAGAAGTTGTTTTCACTTGTTCTCAGTTTTCATGGGTGTTTATTTTCTTTAAAATGACCCCCCTCTTTGAAATATTTTTTAATGTCATGTTTGATATATTTGTTTAAAAGGGTTTATTCGCTATAATTGGGGTATATAAATGATTGTTACGCGAAATTTATGATTTTTTTGGGATAAAAGCATCCTAGAAGTGTGAAAAAATGTCCAATTATAATTTTTTCACAGACCTTTGAAATCATCCCCAGGGGGACAAGGGGGGAGGGTACGCAATGGGGAGCCATCTTTATTCAAATGTTTGAGAGTGTTCAGTACATACTTGCATTATGTGTTTGCGCCATTTTATTGAAAATCCGGTTTTAATGAACTTTAATGTCATGTATTTTACAGAATTAACGAACGCTGCTGGTTCTTTTTTAAGGAAAAATTATGATTTAATTATAATATTCCAATATTTTCCCTACACAGTTTTCCCAGATTTTTTAAAAGCAAAATTGGGGATGAAAACTTTGAATATGTTGATTGTAAATTATTAATTCAAAAAAGGAATTTGAAAAGACAAAAGTCTCTGAAGTTGTTCTAGACAAAAAAAAATAATTTTTTCATGATTCATTATCAGAGGTTCCAATTATTTCTGTAAAACTAATTAGGTTGTTTATTAGAAAGCAAACAAAATACCGTTGTCCGTTATTATAATACTGAATACCGAGTTCCGCAATCAAAATTTGAGGCAAATCGGTTAAAGGGTTCATGAGCTATGAACGGACATCCATCCAAACAGACAAACACACAGTATATGGACACCAGTTAGGATAGTTAATAAAGAAATTAAGTCTTCTCTACAAACTCAAATTTTGTATTCTATATACCCTATATATCTTTGCAACCTGATGGCGAAAACCTTAGATATTTCAATCTTAGATTATTTGATCTAGAAAAATTCATAGTTTGATATATCAACTGTCTTCGACATTGGGTTGCAGAGATAAAGGTTTTAGAGAATCTGAGTTTGTGGCAATGACTCAATTCCTTTGAAATATTAAGGTTGAGATGGTTGCTGACAACGAGGATATTCCAACCTCTCCTGCTGTTAGAAAACGAAGCTATCCATTCATCCAGGTATTCATCCTTTCATTCATTTATCAATTCGTTCATCCCTTCATCCTTATTCCTTGTGTATACATAATTTTATCCATTAATACAGGTATTCGTCCGTCCATTTATCTATACATCCTTCCTGGTATTTATCCATTCTTTTATTTATCCATCTATATATTCATCCTTTAATGAGTTTATCATTTTATTCATTCATCTTTATCCATAAATTCAAAGTTGATTTTTTTTTTCATTATTTCATCAAATTTTCAGAGCAAACCAATTTGATCTTCTGACATTTGATTGAGACCTGAACACGTGGACAAATAGATAGATATCATGCAATTGCAAGTAATTAAATACATGTAAAATTCAAATTGTTAGAGACTTAAAATTTTTTATTTTTTCATTTATAGTCCAAGAAAAAATGGTTAATATGGCAAGGACATGATTGAAGACTAAAGTATGGATCTTGTAGATTGAAGATACATCATTTGTCTTCGAATGAAATTCATTCTCCAAAAATGATTGTCGAAACAATAATCTTAGTCCTGGTATTTTCAAAATGTGATCCAAAATGAAGTGAAGTTATCGGCGAAAAAAAAAACATTTTTTTGCCTTCGATACCCCAGAGGCTACACATGTATGTACACAAAAAATTTCAGCCCATTCGGTCCAGCCGTTTGGCCGGCTAAAGTGAACATATATACGATCGTCTTGTTTTATTATATAGATAACCATAATAAAAACATTTTTTATTTTTTGGTAAACTAAAGTCGTGGAAACCTGTTTTTGATACACACATATGCGTAAAAGCATATATTTTTATTGATAAACTGTATTTTATATTACAATATTATCATTGTATGTGTGTTTATTTATAAACGTGATGATTATAAAAGATTACATATTCGTTTAGTACTCTTTTATATTATCCAGAAAAAGGGCTCAGAGATGTGTGTACTTATGTGTATTACAGAAATATCACAACTTTTTATCACAAAAATTTATCAATTTTGATTTTTTTAATTGTCGTAGTTCACAAACCCAGATGTGAGTCCTGTCAAACAAAGCCTTCCCTCACCACCTCTACAGGAAAATATACTAAAATATGTTTTAAAAAAGGGAAAGAGAGGAGGGACAAGTTTTCCACTTTTGTAGAAGAATTATTTTGTATTATTATACCAGTCTAAGGATTATCTGGTCTTCAAGAAAGGACTAGACACCTTTGGAGGGAGTAGTGCAGTGCGAGGGGGAGCAGACGAACACAATCGGGGGAGTATTTCAGGGAGTCCAGGAGTAGGTAAAACCGAAACAGAAAATAAAGGAGAAGTAAATAAAACTGGGAGTACTGGATCAATAAAACCTAAAGTATGGAGTACAGAAGGTGGTGGAGGTGGAGTGAAAGATAAACTAAAAGTAATCTATCTGGGAGATCAGAAGATTAAAACAAAGGACGGAAAGAATAAGGAGAAGAACGTGACGGAAGAAGATGGAGAAGAAACTGAGAAAAATAAAAAGGTCGGATATTTTTTTCATTTTTCTTGCAAATGCAATTTTGCAACATGTCTGATGATTTTAATGTTATTTAATATCCCAGGGGAGGTCCCCTCCTTCCCCTTCCCCTCCATTCTCCCCTTTCTATTACACCCCCCCCCCTCTTCACCTTCCCTTACCCCTCACCTCCTGGATTGCCTCTCCCTGAGATTTTAAAGGGAAACTTTTTATTAACAAAACTGAATTCTACAATTATATTTTTTATTTTGTCGTAAATAAACTATGTTCAGGAGATTCAGAAGACCATGGGAAATTCAGGTTACATCAGGAGTAACGGTAAAGGGGAAAGTGAAGAGCCAAGGGATGGTAGGAGAAGTACACCCCCTTACCCAGCAGGAGAATATAATGACTCCCTGCCTCCTGTTCTTGAGTCTAATCCTCCGATTGAGCGGAGTAGCCGAGTGGGTCAACATCTTTTACCTGTTGGAGTTCTTAGGTAACAAACCTCATTAAAATCTCGAGCTTTTTAAAAAAGTTGTCCTTCCCCCCCTCCCCTGTTCTTTCCGTCCTGTCTCTTCTTTATATTCCCGATGATCCGTAATTATAATTCATAATTCGCTGCTTGGCTTGGAATCAATTGGTCAGATAACTGGGTTGGGTCAGAAATATGAGAAACGTTTTCCGCAGAAATATTTGGGTCAGATATATCGTCTTTTACACAATTTACACAGCATCTTTTTAAATTATAAACAAAACCAAGTAAAATAAACTAAAGATCATATATATATTCTTCTTATCCTGGGATTTTTAAGCTATTTGGTCTACACATATCTATCTTCAAAGTTGTCTGATCTAAAAAGAAAACTTGAAAATTTCAAAATATAAAGTAAGACTGAAATTGACTTAGAAAAGTTTGGGTTTTTTGAAAATAAAAGAAAAACTTTCCGGTGAGGATAAATTCACATTTTAGAAGCTCGCAAATATGCATTTACTAGATCAACATGTGCCAACTTATTTAGTCCATTAAATTTAATCTAATCGGTTTGTATTTTAGAGAAAACGCGGGAACACTGCTCACGCGCCGTACAACCGGACAGCCATATCCTCGCAAATCTGCGCTTGCAATATCGATAAAACCCGCGCCATCGAGTTTAAATCCTAAGGGAGTGACCAAACCAAACCAGAAAAAACTGGATTTTCTAAATAGTGCCGCCGAAAACGAAAAGCAGAGTTATAATATACCGAAAGAGATCAAGTGTGAGAGCATTCAGAAAAGTGACTCACTCTCAGGCCATTCAACCCTCTCTCCGGCAGCCATTTTGGATCCTGCTCTTTCATGCCAATCCCAGGGACATCACGTGACTAATAAGAACCAATCAGAAGAGCTGGTAGCTACCACACCATCTGTTCATCACTTCAACTCCTCCACCCAATCAGATGGCGAGACCGATATATCTCGACCAATCGGAGCGGAGCAGACAAATTCTCTCTATGTTCATTGGTCAAAACTGCAGTCCAATCAACCAATCAAGAAAAAGATGAAGCAGCTTAGCCGAAGTAGAAAGTTGAAGTAAGTTAATTTAGATGCAAAAATGTCTGGTTTTTAAATGACGTCTAGACACATTCAAAATTTTATTAACAATAATTTCATGGAAAAGTATAATATCAGGGGTTACTCTATACAGCTTACTTTCATTCGATAGTATACAATGCATAGTTCTTTCTAATACCATAAAGCGATATTTGAAATCCCCCATTTGTTCTAGAATTTATAGAACCTCACATCAACGGTTTAAGGATCACGAAGTGTAAAACTTTTTAAACTTTAAATATAAAAATGTTTAACTGCAAAATTAAGTATCATTCTAATAGTTCGCAATGTTTTTTATCAGGAAGGCATTCCCCTACTCCCATTCCCATACTAAACACAACGGCAATATCTGTAATAGAAAGATTTTAATTTTGCAAAAATGCACACAGACGCATGTGGGCGTATTTTACAATACAACAGGGTTGCGATAAACAATTAAATACGAGAAAATAAAATCAACATGAGAATAAGTGACGAGACAGGTTTAAAAGGTTGTCATTAACCTAAACCAGAAAGAAATGCAATTAGTTATTTAGAATTACGATTTGTAAAATTAAAAGTTTAAGAACTGAGACATCTTAATTTTGTAAAGGTACTTACACACTTGAAAGGAATTGAGTCTTTGTCCCAAACTCTGATTTTCTAATCTCTATTTTTTTCCTGAACCGCAATGTCGTAATTTCAAACTATGAATTTTCTAAGATAACATACTCTTATAAAAGGGTTACACCATCAGATTGCAAAGATAGAGAAATTATAAAATTTTAGTTTGTGACAAAAAATCTGTTCCTTCACCAACTAAAAATGATATTTAATCTTACATATTTATTTTTGAAATTCTATAAATAAAATATTTAAAACCCTTTCCTGACTTAGACTTGATATCAGCAATTTTGCAAATTGAATAGATTTATGTTGTCTATTTATAATCCTAAACCCAGATGTCTAGTTAAACTTTTAAAGCAGAGGGTCACGTAACACTAACTATAACGAAGAGCATCCTGTCTGTATCAGAACATTTTCAGTTTTAATTTTGATCTCATATTCAAAATCCGTCTAAAATGACGCAAACCACTTTAAATATTTCAAATATATATGTAGCCCATCAAAAACGTATAAAATAGCTAATTTAAAGAATTTACAGTTAAAGGATGAAAATGGGTTATAAAGTCAAATCTCACTAGAGTTTAAACCAGGACCTCTAGTCTACCGTGGTATCCACTGTGTGTATCCTTGATTAATTTGATTTGTTTACAAATCTTATTTAAAATTATTTTATGTGACAAAAATTTAATTTACCAACCTTGAAGCTATCCTAACAAATGGGAACCAACCCTAACACATTGATCCAAACCTAACATATAGATCCAAACCTAACTTTCTTTTAGTCCAAGACACGAACATTTTAAAACTTGCTTGTTTTAACGTAACTGATATTTAGACAACTCGGACAGGGGTCCATATAATTCCTTTTTCAATCCCATTTGGGATTGACAAATTTGAAAGAAATGATGGAAAAATTTTTTAAATGATAATTTTAAAAAAATTGTTTCATTTTTTTTTAAATTGGGGGCAAATGTGTTAGTGGAATTTGAAAATGTTTTTTAATTGGGGGCATTCTTTGTAATTGGGGCAAATGTGTTAGTGGAATTTAAAAACGTTTTTAAAATTGGGGGCATTTTTTTTAAATTGGGGGCAATTGGGGGCAAATGTGTTTGTGGAATTTAAAAATGTTTTTTAATTAGGGGCATTTTTTACAATTGTTGGCAATTTTTTTCACAATTTGGGGTAATTGGGGGCAAATGTGTTAATGGAATTTGAAAATGTTTTTTTAATTGGGGGCATTTTTTGTAATCTTTTAATTGGGGGCAATGGGGGCAAATGTGTTAGTGGAATTTGAAAATGTTTTTTAATTGGGGGCATTTTTTCCAATTTGGGGCAAATTTGTAAGTGGAATTTAAAAATGTTTTTTAAATTGGGGGCCTTTTTTTTAATTGGGGGCAAATGTGTTAGTGGAATTTGAAAAAAAAAATTTAATTGGGGGCATTTTTTTTTAAATTGGGGGCAATGGGGGCAAATGTGTTAGTGAAATTTAAAATTGTTTTTTTAATTGGGGGCAATTTTTTACAATTGGGGGCATTTTTTTTAAAGTTGGGGGCAAAAAAATTATTTTGGGATCGAGAAAATCAGCTATTTTGGGAACTATATGGACCCCTGAACTCGGAAAGTTATTCATTAAATTTTTAGACCGCCTTAACTTTAAAGTGCCGCAACTTCTTGACCGTTGGTTTTAACCCCACCAATCTTATACTTTTTTGTAGCCCTAGACATATGCATTTAAAAAGTAGTAATTGGCAAATTAAATAGTTCTCTATGTTTGTGCGAGAGTGTGCATATTGACGTGTAATATTTTTGACTTTTTAAAAGCTCAACCTCAAAACTCTGAGATTGTATTACAAAATTCTATTATCTTGTATTTTTTTATGTGAACAATTAGAATCAGATAAAAGATATGGACGATTTATTTGGCTTTATTTCACACGATCCCTAAAACGTCGAAAAGCTTGGTTTAAAAACTTGATATCTAAAAGCTTATCAAAAAACACGATATGCCTATCACAGGATATATGTATAGAAGTTTTTTACTTGTATATTCTCATTTTCCCTTATATACTATCTATCTATTGCATGTTTTCACCTTTTCCTCATTTTCATTTTCCCTTATATACCATCTATCTATTGCATGTTTTCTCCTTTTCCTTATTTTCCTTTTCCCTTATATACCATCTATATATTGCATGTTTTCCCCTTTTCCTTATTTTCATTTTTCCTTATATACCATCTATCTATTACTTGTTTTCTCCTTTTCCTTATTTTCATTTTTCCTTATATACCATCTATCTATTGCATGTTTTCACCTTTTCCTCATTTTCATTTTCCCTTATATACCATCTATCTATTGCATGTTTTCTCTTTTTCCTCATTTTCCTTTTCCCTTATATACCATCTATCTATTGCATCTTTTCACATTTTCCTTATTTTCATTTTCCCTTATATACCATCTATCTATTGCATGTTTTCACATTTTCCTTATTTTCATTTTCCCTTATATACCATCTATGTATTGCATGTTTTCACCTTTTCCCCATTTTCATTTTCCCTTATATACCATCTATCTATTGCATGCTTTCACCTTTTCCTCATTTTCATTTTCCCTTATATACCATCTATCTATTGCATGTTTTCACCTTTTCCTCATTTTCAATTTTCTTTATATACCATCTATCTATCGCATGCTTTCCACTTTCCCCATTTTCATTTTCCCTTATATACCATCTATCTATTGCATGTTTTCAACTTTTTCTTATTTTCATTTTCCCTTATATACCATCTATCTATTGCATGTTTTCACCTTTTCCTCATTTTCAATTTCCTTTATATACCATCTATCTATTGCATGTTTTCAACTTTTCCTTATTTTCATTTTCCCTTATATACCATCTATCTATTGCATGTTTTCAACATTTCCTTATTTTCATTTTCCCTTATATACCATCTATCTATTGCATTTTTTCACATTTTCCTTATTTTCATTTTCCCTTATATACCATCTATCTATCTATTGCATGTTTTCACCTTTTCCTCATTTTCATTTTCCCTTGTATACCATCTATCTATTGCATGTTTTCACCTTTTCCTCATTTTCATTTTCCCTTATATACCATCTATCTATTGCATGTTTTCACATTTTCCTTATTTTCATTTTCCCTTATATACCATCTATCTATCTATTGCATGATTTCCACTTTTCCTCATTTTCATTTTCCCTTATATACCATCTATCTATTTTATGCTTTCCACTTTTCCTCATTTCATTTTCTCTTATATACCATCTATCTATTGCATGTTTTCACCTTTTCCTTATTTTCATTTTTCCTTATATACCATCTATCTATTGCATGTTTTCACCTTTTCCTCATTTTCATTTTCCCTTGTATACCATCTATCTATTGCATGTTTTCATCTTTTCCTCATTTTCATTTTCCCTTATATACCATCTATCTATCTATTGCATGTTTTCACCTTTTCCTCATTTTCATTTTCCCTTATATACCATCTATCTATTGCATGTTTTCCACTTTTCCTCATTTCCATTTTCCCTTATATACCATCATATACCATCTATCTATTGCATGCTTTCCACTTTTCCTCATTTCATTTTCTCTTATATACCATCTATCTATTGCATGATTTCCACTTTTCCTCATTTACATTTTCCCTTATATACCATCTATCTATTGCATGCTTTCCACTTTTCCTCATTTCATTTCTCTTATATACCATCTATCTATTGCATGTTTTCAACATTTCCTTATTTTCATTTTCCCTTATATACCATCTATCTATTTTATGCTTTCCACTTTTCCTCATTTCATTTTCTCTTATATACCATCTATCTATTGCATGTTTTCAACGTTTCCTTTTTTTCATTTTCCCTTATATACCATCTATATATTGCATGTTTTCAACATTTCCTTATTTTCATTTTCCCTTATATACCATCTATCTATTGCATGCTTTCCACTTTTCCTCATTTCATTTTCCCTTATATGTTATCTATCTATTGCATGTTTTCCACTTTTCCTCATTTTCATTTTCCCTTTTATACCATCTATCTATTGCATGCTTTCCACTTTTCCTCATTTCATTTTCTCTTATATACCATCTATCTATTGCATGCTTTCACCTTTTCCTCATTTTCATTTCCCCTTATATACCATCTATCTATTGCATGATTTCCACTTTTCCTCATTTTCATTTTCTCCTTTTCTCCTTTTCTCTCCAGATTTCTTAGTTTTCTTATTCACTTGCTGGCCGAACCCCCCCCCCCCCATGCTCTTGCATTGTTTTTGCATCTTCAGCAACTTTTGCAATAAAATCCTCTCTCAGACATTTATCTGACATTTTTTTAAAAAAGG